CCTGCCTTGTATCAATGGTTCAGGCTGGTGGTCGTGGTGTAATGGTGTGGGAGAAATTTTCTTGGCACTAGCAATGTGTACCTAATAAAGTGGACGGTGAGTAGCGGGATTGTTTGTTTGAGTTTGTCTGAGTGCTGCCCGCCTTTAGGAAGCTATGAGAGCCTTCCAGATCCTGGGAGGGAACTAGGTAAATGAGCAGCATCAATATGGATACAGCCCTAGCCGATTGGAGGGTAGGGTGGCCCCATTGCATGCTGGGTGTGGTATTTATGTTTGTGAGCACATGGGTTTAGCGTCTTTCCCTGGAGAGGATTAAACCAAGCCAGGCTGGAGACTTGCTTGCCTCACTTGGCATTTGCTACCATGCTGGTTTCAGGTGGGCAACCTGAGGGCCTGGAGCTAGAAAGAATGACCTTGGTTCTACAGAAAGCTCACTGATGGTAGTTGTCTGTCAAAGATCTGTCGCTTGGAAGATTGGAAGGAGGCAACCAGTCTGTCCTTGGACTTGTGAGTACAAACACTGAGCGATCTTAAGGATCTTGTGTGCTTTGCTACCCCTCTGGTGGTTAATAGTCAGCGTGTGTCTGAGGAAAGGGGAAACTAGATAGTGTTCTGAAGAACTTGGCCAACCGTTGCTACTGCAAAAGACTTTGCTCAGTCTCCATTATTTTTGAACTGCCACAGTCTGCCATAACAGGCCTGTACCTGAGGATCTCAGCCCTTTAACTACTACTACTTCAAAAGGGACTTTGTTCATTCCTAAGCTACTGGTTACTACAATTTTAAAGAGAAGTCTGATATCTGCTTTCAGCCAGGACCTCAACAGTGCTCAATTAGCAGATCAGCTAGATGTCTTCAGTGTTAATAGTTCTAATTTTGGAGTATTCAACTAAATTCCCCATCCCTATCCCCAGTTCTACAATAAAACTCCAAATACATACAACCCCTAGACTGGTCATTGAAAACAATGAGCAAAAGAGTTTGTGTGCCTGGCTGTGGAAAATACCTTGTGCCTGACTGCGGGGCGATGGAGGAAACCTAGGCAAAAATACAAGCTGATCCTCCAGGGGGTAGCGCTGCACCAGCAAACAAACTCCACACTACTTATTTTCCATTTCCAAACCAATGTATCTGCATTAAACCATTTGGATCAGCAGAGACCAATGATTCCAGGATATCCTTACTGATGTATAAAAAAAAAAAAAAGATTCAGGGTAGGGTTGGCTGCTTACTCTCTGGCTGATGCTAAAGGTTGTAGCCTTGTCATTATAAAAAGTGCCTTATGAACAAATTTTAAACAGAATATTTTTATTTTTGGAGAAGTTTGTGGCTACTAGGAATGAGCTTCAGGTTTGGACTGAACCCATGTTTGGTATGACTTTTACATGTTTGGAATTTGGCGGCCAGTTACCGGATGGGCCACAATAAGGGAAGGAGTTTAATTACCCTTCTTGGCCTGTGTGCATGCCCAGCATCCAGGTTTTAAGTTGAACATGCTTAGTCATGCAATAGGCCACAATTTGTCATGTGTTACACATCTCACATGGACCGGAGTGGACGAAGTGGACTCTAAAAGTATTGTAGCAGTTGATAGGTATAGAGTTCATTTTAGAGCTCAGGTTAGATTAGGTGTTAGGATTGGCATATGCGTTTAAGGTAAATTAAAGCTGAACTCTAGACAACAGCTTTACTGTTGTAATATATATATGGAAGCTGTTTGAAGTTCTAGCAAGCCGCTCCTAAGATTTACACCACCCAGCCAGTTCCATGTCCTAAATTTTCATTACTGAAATTGGAAGAAGGCATTTGATCTCCTCCCAACTTCACCTAGGATTGGACAGTAGGCATTTGATCTCCTCCCAACTCCACCTAGGATTGGACAGTAAAGAAGCTGCCTCACCATTATTGGGTCACCTATTTTTCCCTTGTTATATTGTTGGTGCATGTACATTGATTGGCTCACAGTACCTTTCCTCTTTGTCCCACTTTGATTTCTAATGTACATTAAATTACAAAAAGCTGATAATAAGATATTGGTTGCATTTTAAAGTATATTTTATAATGTATAATGAAAACTGTATTAAATTGTGTTTTTTAATATCAACCTGGATTTTAACTTGAAGGTTAAGAATCAGGCCTTTGCAAGGAAATGTTTTTTCACTTTTGGTGGCATTGATACCCTCAAGCTGAATATTACTGGTTACTACTACTCCTGGCACTGAATGGTATTATTCTGAAAAATACTGATCTACAAACAGCATAGAGTACCATCTAGGGTACAAATTGACTCATTCTCACTTTTGTACACACAGAGTGGGTGACAAACAGCATGGAGGTTTCATCAACATCAGACAATCAAGTATATGAGAAGGATTTTGACCCCAAAAAATACCTAGAAATCTTCTACACATTAGACCCTAAAGCTAAGGAAATGGATAAAGAGTCAGTTTTCCTGCTCAGTTTTATGAAAAACGTATTTTCATCAGGTATGTAATACTGTTGATGCTAGTACAGCTTCCCAAGGTCTATTCAGGTCTGGATGTATATAAAGGTATTATTTTTAGTTTGAAATATCCTAATGAATGATTTAACTTAATCTTGCCTTTTCTGTTTTATTAAGTTTTTACATGTTACAAAACAATGATTAACCACAGAGGCAGCAAAAGACCTGGCATTAGCCAAGGACGTAATCACAATCAAAATGTCATTAATTTAAGGCCTAGTATGGTCACATCATCAATAACTGGTACATTCATTTATTGTTGCGGTGATTCGACTGCTAAGTCATTGTCACCCTGGTTAGTTTTAACGTAGAAATAGATATAGATCTTATTACAAGATAGGTAGAAAAAAGGTAAAGGAAGACGTACTCGAGGGGTGGGAAAAGTTTTAAATGGAAAGGATTAAAGGGAAGCACCTTAGGACTGAGAGAGATCCCCTTGGATCCCTCAGATATCCAGGGATTAATGGAGTTATAGAGTGTTAAATAGTAAATCCTGTGAAAGATAGTGAGTTATCCACAGGTCCCAAGCTTTTCACCGAGTCCTGTAATATGGCTGCATTTTTCGGTTACTCAGATACTAAGTCATTTTGTTCTTGACTTGAGCTATGATAGGTTGAATGGGCCACCAGGCATTCACCAATGTCTGCTTAGCTGCTGTAAAGATAAAAGTGAGTTATTTTCTTTGGTGTTTCTTCCAAGCTTCAACCCATAAATTGAAAAGGGCTTCATATGGTCTTTATGGGTCAATATATCCCTGTCTAGTACGGTGTGTGTGTGTATATATACAGTAAGTTGGTGGACATTAATCCAAAAACATTACATTTTCAAACAGTCTCATCATATGTGATTTAGGGTACTTAACCCGCTAAAGCCCCTGAAACAACTGATGTGTCATTACGGTATTTAGCCAAGTTTTCACAAAAAAAAAAAACCTGGAAGCTGATTGGTTTCTATGCAGAGCAGCAACAGATTTTGCATTCTCCAGTTTTAGTAAATCAACCCCAAATTCAACATGACACCTTGCTAGTGTACATAAGAATATACCAATCAAGTAATACATATAAATCTTTTGAAAAATATATAAAATATTACATGAAAGCGTAATCCATGCATACAATATAATGTAATTTTTCAATTTTTCCTAAATATGTATACCCATTCTCTGGAGGTTTAAAACATTTTGAAATCACAGATAAACGAATCAACATGAATATATTTAGGTAAATTGACTATTCACAATAATTTAAAGAGATGCCAAATTTGACAAATTTTTTAAATTTTACTAATTTAATCACTAATTTTTAACATATGCTCTTTATTTAGTGTTAATTTAAGTTTTCTTTAGTTTTTTTGTAAATCTTCACATATGCCATTATGTTTTTTTTTTTTTCAGTATGCATTGGAGTGGATTTACTAAAAGACCAGTGACCGATCATTTGCAAAGTCACTCCCGGTTCACATATATGTGGCTGTGTGGGCCACATTTTGCACGGGCACGAGAGCCCATTCATTTGAATGGACTCCCGTGCCCATGACATGTAGGGAAGAAGTCCTGCACTTCTTCTGAAAACGCATTCCCGCACAGGAACCTCAGTTCCCAATACGGTTGCGTTTTCCAGTGTGGGCGGCGTGCCATTAGAACTAATGGCACCCGCCCGCGGGTCCGCATTTCTCTGTGCGGGTGGTGCAGCTACATGGATTTTCGTGCGGATCCGCAGCGGCACCACCCGTACAGATGTAAACCTAGGGTAAATGTTGACTTGGCTTAACATCATAGGTAAATCATCCAGTAATGTGCAAGAAAAAAGTAATTAAAAACAAATTCCATTACACGTCTGGGTGTTCAAAGTGAACACGCCTCCACCTTATTGACTAAGCCAAGTGAACAGGGGAGGACTGACAACTCATGGGTCCCCTGGTCAATAGGGGACCATGGGGCCCGTGTTCTTGCCCGAACTAAAAAAAAAAGCCTATGAAAAAGGTACCAGGGGCATCTCATGGGGCCCCCTACTGACACCGGGCCCTCAGGCAGTGTCCGAGTTTCGAAATGGTCTTTCCGCCCCTGTTAGAGGCTGTTGGCTTGTAGTTTTCAATGATCTACCACGGCACTGTGGAGCTCTGTGGTAGTTCATTGAAGCATCCTGTCAGTATATCTGCTTCACCATACATCCCGTACGGCAAGCAGATATTCTGACAAGTCTGCAGGAGACTTGTATGGAATCAGCAATCTAGTGATCACTCGTACAATGCTTTCCAGGCTCCTTTGGGCAAAAATAGTAAATGTACATTTTTTTTTTTTTTTTTTTTTTACCTGCAAAAAAATGTGCATTTATTATTTTTGTCCAAAAGATGAACTTATCCTTTAAAAAATCAACAGGTATTTCAATGCATTAAAAAATATTTTAATGGTACATTTGAACAGACTAATAATACAATACGTTCTTCTTTAGGGTTTACACTCCTTTTAAAATTGTGAACATATTTGATTTCTCTTCTAGGTCGTGTGGAAGGCAAAAGCCTTATAGAGATTGGTGCTGGTCCCACCATATATTTTATTCTGTCTGCCTGTGAAAACTTCAAGCAGATATACCTTACAGATTATTTAGAAGGCAACCTGCAGGAAATAGAGAAATGGCTAAAAGGTGATGGGGAGGCCTATGATTGGTCCCGATATCTAAAATATGTCTGTGCCATTGAAAACCACAGGTATGTACTAAACATTATTAATACACTAGATAGATATGGATGATTCTGGAGCTCCAAAAGAGTTGCTTATTTTTTGTCAATTTGCTTGAAAAAAAAAAAAAAAGCATTTTGTTAAAAGCTTTTAAAATATTCCTTCCTTTAATTTTCATCATCAATCAAGTGCTATCCAATCTGATCAGCTGATATGATAAATTATATACAATGTGGTACTATTAATCACTGATATAATATCATACATTATATCAGGAATCTTTAGGCATACATAGACGAAGTTGTGATGATTTTATCTTGTTTGGGGAAAATTAATGAATTTGCTTTTATATTGTTTTTCATGTCATATTTTGTATTTAAGTTTTTAATAATTAAAATGTTCTGCAAATTGCCAGGAGGGAGGAACTATTTTGCCATTGTTGCATATTTTCTTGTTTTTGGATCTTTGTACACATTTGTAGTGAGGAACCGGTCTGATATGCATAAAGATGAGATTTCCCTAAATGGTAAATTTTGTATCCGCTGAGTTATTGTATACATTTGTTACCACAGGAGTATGGACGGAGAAGAATTCTGATCATACAAATAAACAGGATTTTACTGGCGTATTTGCAAAGTTCTTATTAGGTTTGGCAACATAGGTTGATACCTGAATTTTGGACAAGTGCTAAAGCTAGCCATAGGTAGATATCAAACTGTATTAAAGCAAAGATTTTTGGTGCACTGTTTGAGGAAAAGGAACTCTGAAATATATTTTTTAAAGTTTTTTTTTAACAATTTTATTGCTTATACAAAATTAAAATCCATATCAAAGATACATTAAAAACAGCATCCTTAAAGTGTTACTAAACCCAAACAGTAAAATCAGTCTGTATATGCATGCTTGTTATACTCACTGTGGAACCAAAGGGGTTAATCCATTGTGTAAAAAGGCTGTTTTCTCTGATCCTTCCCTTCTACTGTCCCCAATCTATCCGCTGATAATACAGAGCTCCAGGAGTCATTCTGCACATGTTCAGTTTGGTGTGTATTGCTAGAGAGTTTTTTTCTTTCTTTGGTAGGGTGCATGTGATCAGCACAGGGCCAATCAGCACTGTCCAGACAGAGTCAGGTGTTATGTAACCTCATAGGACAGTCAGAGCAGAATGAAAACTCCTCCTACAAACTTTAACCAGTGCTCGGCTGGACACTGATAGAAGTCACAAGACTGCTATATACTGCTCATGGGAAAAGGTATTTAGTAGTTTATATTTTACAAAAATGATTTCATTTCCATGTTCTGTGTACTGTGGGAGACCAGATATAGTGAATGCAGGGTTCTGGGTTTAGTAACACTTTAAATGTATATTACTTAGTATACAGCATGCAAAAGTTGAGCTATAATTTTAATTATAATTTTTGTACTATATTTTTTTTAAAACCCTTATTTCTTGGGTGGTCAGATCTGACCATTCAGGACAGCACAACTGTGTAGTACAGAAGATAATTTTATTTGTCAGAGGTCTATATATATATATTGACAAATATGTGTATATATCACAAAAATACATAAGTATTCACTTACTATCAGATGGACATTTTCACACAGTGTTTGAGGGCCGCCATGTAATTGTCCACAAATACATAAAAATTGCTACAACTCATCATTAAATTCAATGTTGTTGCAACTGTGATTATTGTTACAGTAACATCATTTTAAATGTAATATCAATAAGCTTTAAGATGATAATTACTTACAAAGTGTTAATTCATAGATGTAAGTTTACGTATGTTGCCCTACATTTGACACAAGGACCACCTTAGGAGATAAAATAGATGGGAAAACAGCATATTCCCCCTAAAACAAAGGTGATATGCACTATATTGCCAAAAATATTAGTGGAAGACACCCCTCCAAATCATTGGATTCAGGTGTTCCAATCACCTCCATGGCCACAGGTGTATAAAATCCAGCCCCTAGGCATGCAGACTGGTTCTACAAACATTTGTGAAAGAATGGGTCACTCTCAGGAGCTCAGTGAATTCAAGCGTGGTCCCGTGATAGGTCGTCACCTGTGCAATAAGTCCATCCCTGACATTTCCTGGCTACTAAATATTCCACGGTCAACTATTAGTGGGATTATAACAAAGTGGAATTAACAGCAACTCAGCCACCAAGTGGTAGGCCACGTAAAATGACAGAGCGGGGTCAGCGCATGCTGAAGCACACAGTGCATAGAAGTCGCCAACTGTCTGCAGAGTCAATAGCTAAAGACCTCCAAATTTCATGTGGCCTTCAGATTAGCACAACAACAGTGTAAAGAGCTTCATGGAATGGGTTTCCATGGTCAAGCAGCTGCATCCAAGGCTTACTTCACCAAGTGCAATGCCAAGCATTGGATATAGTGGTGTGAAAGCAAGCCACCACTGGACTCTAGAGCAGTGGAGACGTGTTCTCTGGGCTCACCAATCACACTTCTCTGTCTGGCAATCTGATGGACATGTCTGGGTGTGGTGGTTGCCAGGAGAATACACTTGGCACAATGCAGTCAGGCAAGTACCAAAGTTTGGTGGAGGGAGGATTATGGTGTGGGGTTGCTTTTCAGGGGTTTTGCTTGGCCCCTTAGTTCTTATGAAGGGAACTCTTAGGACAATTTTGGACAATTTCATGCTCCCAGCTTTGTGGGAACAGTTTGGGGATGGCCCCTTCCTGTTCCAACATGACTGCGCACCAATGCACAAAGCAAGGTCCATAAAGACATGGATGAGCGAGTGTGCAGGCCAGTCAAGTTTCCTCCACCCCAAAGAGTCCTGACGTCAACCCACAGAACACCTTTTAGATGAATAAGAGCGGAGACTGGGAGTCAAGCCTTCTCGTCCGACATCAGTGCCTGACCAAGAGGTGCACTTCTGGAAGATTGGTCAAACCTTCCCATAGACACACTCCTAAACCTTGTGGATAGCCTTCCCAGAAGAGTTGAAGTCGTTATAGCTGCAAAGGGCGGGGGCCAACTCAATATTGAACCCTACGGACTAAGACTGGGATGCCATTAAAGTTCATGTGCGTATAAAGGTAGGCATCCCAATACTTTTGGCCCTTCGCTCTTTGCCTTGCCCTCTATATCCCTTTTAAATTCCTCACAGGTAGAGATGTGTGTTGCTGTTTCCATTACAATTTTTTTTGGATTCATTGAAATTTGTTACTATTATGATGTGATTAATTAGAATCTACAAATAAAGAAAATCTTGTCCGAACTATGATTCGTAACAAAACGAATCACACCTGTCTACTCATAGGTCTTCTCCCACCTCCAGGAGAAATGATCGTTCTTCCATATATTTTATCTCCTGAGCTGGTCCTTGTGTCAAATTAGGAGGACATACCTAATTTACTTCTATGAATGCATTGTTTAAAAAGTACCAGAATTATTATCTTAAAGCTCATTGTTTTCTGCTGAAATGATATTGTTGTATTAGTATTGCATTTTAAATGATGGAGTTGTAACAAGATAATTTTATTTATGGAAAATGTACATGTTGGCCCTTGTACTTTTGTGATGTTATGTCAATAAAAGACATATACTTATGTAACCTTTATGTTGCTTCCAGATTGTTTAGACCTCTTATGAATAAATTCTTTTCTGTAATACATATTTGTCCTGCTCTGAAGAAGCAGATCTGACTGTCAAACATGTTTATAAAGTGTTTTAGATAATGTGTGGTACAAATATGAATTTTAAAATTTGGTATATACAATAACGGTCTTAGAACTTTTGAAAAAAACATTTCAGGAGTCGCTTTTCCCAAAACCAAAATTGCTTTCATTTAAATATATTAAGTCACTTTACACCCTGGGGATGGCATGGTAAAATACATAACCTGTCTCCCCTCATTCGTTCCTATTGGTATTTAAATAGGTGGATGTTTCCCTGAAAACGATCGCCTAAGCGATCGGACCGGAAATGGGAGCGGGTACCTGTCAAATTCGGGCACCCGCTCCCCCACCCCCCAAAGGTGCCAATCCTTTATGGGGAGTGGGGGAGGAGTCCTTAAAGTGTAACTTCCCCTTTTGGGTGGAGTTCCGCTTTAAGTGATTCCTGAGATCTCCTAGGATATCAGCATCATCTATCCCAGCAGTCCTCGGGAAGCCTAATAGTGAAATCTCACAGTATTTTGAGACCGGAAATGACGCAATCGGGAGGAGTTAGGATCAGGAGGAGAAATAGGATCTGCAAGGAGGAAGTACAGACACTGTGTTTTGGACACCGCTGGATTAATTGCTTGACAGGTTGCCATAACAAAGGGGCGGGAACTTTCGCCAATGCTACCATTGCTATGGCAACCTGTAATCAACACAGTGCGCCACGCAATGTCATTACCCAAGAAGGCAGTGGAAGGCAGCAGGGGAGGGGGGCATTGTCTCCCACTGCTTGTAAAAGCAATTCTGAAGCTAATTAGCTACGAGGATTGCTTTGACATGAAAATTGATAGCCGGCTGAAAAAACTATACCAGGATGATGCCTGTAGCTGTATAACCATTCAAAGTCCAGTGATGTACCAGTACGTCACTGGTCCTTGTTGGGTATATATGCTATGTTCTTCTCTGCCAGAAAAAGTGTGTGGTATGCCCACCCATTAGAATATACCAGCCTGCATCCACCCGCTTCTAATGGTGGGCACACATTAGGTCACACGGTGCCACATGCACCAATTCCAAGATTGTACACATGTCTAAACAGTGGCACGCTTGAATAAAAATTATCCACGTATAAGTGGTACCCCATATGGAAAAAGGATGACACCAAGTCCCAAACTATCTTGCCACTGCTCCCAATGTAGTCTTGGCATCTGGGGGGCTCCACTTGACTATCTTTTCTCTCGTAAATCTGAAACTTATATGTATAGCCTGTTGCCCTCTCATAGGTCTTATACATCTTGACCCCATATCTGGCATGCTTGCTGGGGAGAAATTGTTTGAATGTAAGGCGGCCAGAAAAATTAATGAGGGACTCCTCAACACAGATTTTTGC